TCCTTCTGGGACTTTATTGAGAAGACGGCATTCAGCGTGGTCGATGCCCAGCTGCGGGCAGCGCTGCATGCTCAGACCCTTTGAACCCGACACGTTTTTGGCACAGACTATGCCCCAGTTGTGGCATGGGACCAGCTGCACCCCGTCCCCACCCGGTGCCGGGGGGCATGCACCGAGCTCTGGAGCGGCTGTCGAGTCGGGCACTTAATGTCTCTTTGGCAGAAGCTAGGAGCAGGGTTTGGGCAGAGGCACCGGGCGAGCGGGGCCCGTGGGGGGAGCCGGGGCATGGAGGCAGACGGGACCTCGGCGGGGGGGAGCCGGTGGCTCAGAGCTCATTGTAGAGCGGTTGGCACGGCGGGCTCAGCTTCTCCTCCAAGACGCCGTCGGGGGCACACACCCACGGGTCCTGGGTGTCCCACTGCCACTTCACCAGCTGGGCTCGAAGCACCTCCAGGATCTGGGCGTAGCGGGGGTCAGCAGCCAGGTTGCAGCTCTCAGAGGGGTCGCGGCTCTGATCAAACAGCTCCCAGCGGTCCCGGTAGTAGTACTGGTGCAGGGTCTTGTTCCAGTGGGTGGGCTGGCCGGCCCGCGTGCGGCACAGCAGGTCCTGGAAGGTGGGCGAGACGTAGAAGTCCTGGTCGATGGGGAAGGGCATGCGGTAGTGGAGGTTGTGGACCAGGCGGAAGTGCCCGTGCTGCACGGCCCGCATGGGGTAGTGCATGGTGACTTCATGGAGGCTCTGGCTGCTGAACGCCGTCGCCCAGGCCGGCTCTGATGCCAGCGCCGGCAGCAATGACTTCCCGGTGAGCTGCACCTGTGCAGTGCCGAAGATGCTGTAGCTGGGGTAGGGGATGGAGAACCAGTCCAGGAGGGTGGGCGTGAGATCTGGGAGGGGAGACGGAGGGTGAGTCTGCTGTCAGCCAGGGCGGTGCGTGGCCTGTCCAGAGCCCAGCTGCAGGGAGAGGGTCCCCACCGGGGCTCTGGTGTGAAGGCCTCGGGACCTGCCAGTCTTATCCAGCAGGCTGGCATAGGCCTGGCTGACCTGCCCCCAGCGAGCAGGGTGCTCGGGAGAGGAGACGAGCAGGGGCTCAGCCGTGCCCGAGCGGTACAGGTTGGTTCTGCCGCTGGGGAAGGGGATGCCGTTGTCGGAGGTGTAGATGACCAGCGTGGAGTTGAGGAACCCGGCGTGGCTCAGCTCTTCCAGGACCAGCCCGATGCCTGTGTGCGGAGAGCAGAGCTGGGCACGTGCTCCGCAGAGATGCAGCCCCCACCTCCTTCCTGCCCCCGCCGCTGAGCTGAGGACGGATGCACAACAAGTCCCAGCCCTGCGTGCCCCATGCCCAGGCCCGCTGCCCCGCCGCCAACCTTGGTCCATGCGCCCGATGGTCGTGTACTGGGCGGCCAAGTCCGCACGAGCCGCAGGAGTGTCTGGAACGAAGTAAGGGACCTGCAGGGAGGAAGCAGCAGCAAGTAAGGGCTGGAGATGCCAGGAGAAGCAGCGTGGGGGTATTAGAGCCAGCAATGCGGAAATGGGGACAGAGCCCCTGCAACCCAGCAAGCTTGGCGGGTCTTCCCACCTCCCACCCCATCCTTACCCCTTTCCAGCATCGCCTCCCAGCAGTGCCAGCAGGAGCCCAGCTACATCCCAGAGGGCTGGGAGCCGGCCTCGGGGCAGCTCCCGACAACCTCGTCCTACCTCCACGTCCTCCGGGCGGTACTGCTGGGGCGTCCAGTCGGGGATCCAGCCCATGCCGCTCTCGCCGTTGCCGAACTTCTCGCAGAAGGGCCCGTACTGGGGCTGAGAGTGGCCGCAGCGGTGGGGGTCATGGAAGGCGACGTACAGGAAGAACGGCCTGCACGGAGAGCGAGGCAGCGACCGTGTGTGATGGAGGCCCACGTGGCGTGAGCAAGGGCTGCACAGCCCCAGGCCCCTCCTGACCCGGCTCCAGCCCTCCATCCGGACCCGGTGGTGCAGCCGGCTTGGGCCACCTCTTTATGCTGATGCCAGCCTGGGGCAGGCAGGAGTGAGTTCACCTGGTTTGGGATGTGCTCAGATTTGGAAAGAGGCTTTCCTACCCGTAAAGCCGGGTCCCCTGTGCCCAGCCAAGCTGCTGGCCCGGGCTGTCCCCCTGGGGCACACGCTGGGACGTGGGCATCAGGCGCATCCTGGAGCAGGACGCAACGTCTCACCTCTCATCCTGGCTCCGGAGGAACTTGCGCACGAGCAACTTGATGCGGGTGATGTTGCGGCCCACCTGCAGCACGGAGCCGTTTTCCTCCGTGTAGGCAAAGTCGAAGGGGTACACTGCCTCCGGCCCCACGTGCTTCTTCCCGATGATCCCTGCAGCAAACGCATGGGGCAAGCAACCGCCTGAGCCCGTGGCCGGAGCGCCAGCTGCTGCCCAGCCTCCCCTGGGGACCGGGGAGGCCTCGTCTTGCTCCGAAGCTGCAGCGGTGGCTGGCAGATGCCCTCCAGCTATCCAGCCCCAGGCTACCCAGCAGCTGAGCAAGAACCAAAGCACCTGAATCTTTTCCCTCTCTATCAGCATAGGACCCTCCACTGCGTGTGGCCCTGCTGCTGCCCCCCTGCCCGTGGCTGTCATACAGAAGCAAAGCTGGAGTTGAGTGTAGGATGTCCCAAGGGCAGCTGGGCTCGGACACGGGCCTTGCCCTGCTGTCCTGGAGCCACAAAGGGAAGGAGCAGAAACCAAAGTAGCCCTGACCTGCCCAAGGGCAATCTAGGATAAACACCTGCGCGGGTGCCCGTGCATAAGCCGGTCTCTGGAGGGGGCAACCGGGGAGCATCGGAGATGCTTCAGCAGCAGCTGGGCACCTGTCGGCCCCTGGCTTGCCGAAGCCTGGCCAGGACTCTGCCGTAGTTGGGGTCAGGAAGGCATTTTACCCCTGCCACGGACTGGTACAAACTGGGGAGGGGTCTTAGGGACACGACCTCTTGAGTATATATTAGCAACCTTTCATAGAAGCAGGGCGTTGCGTGGTCCCCCTGCCTTCCCTGCGGCACGTTTGAGCGTGGTGTCAGGGTTGATGGCGGTTTTACAAAGAATTTTGATTATGGGCTGGTTTGATCGTGCCTCAGGCCGGGGTTGGATTAGACCAGGCCTCCGCAGCTCCCGTCCAGCCCCGCGGCTCTAGGAGTCTATAAGGCGGGTTAGGGGGAGCAGGGCCGGTGCTGCCCGCTGCTCCGCTCCCCCGCGCCCTGCCCCAGCTGGCTACCTGTCCGGATCCGCGCCTGGCCGAGCAGCAGGGGAAGGCTCTGCACCTTGTCGAAGGAGTTGAAGTGGTGCACGTCCTGGTGCAGCCCGTACATCCCGTTCTGGTGCTGCGAAACCGAGGCCTGAGATCAGCTGGGCTGGCTCACACCCCTGCCCCCCCTCCTGCCTGCACGGCATCTGTCCGCCGGTGCCAGCGGGACGGCACCTGCCGCCCCTCGCTGCCAGACACCAGCCTGGGCCAGGAGCCCCCAAGGGAGCAGTTAGACAAAGCCCTGGGGGAGGACCTGGAGGGAGCCCTACCCGACCTGGGGTAAGCCGGTCAGGATGCTGGCCCGGCTGGGAGAGCAGCTGCTGACGGAGGCGAAGGCGTTCTGGAAAACGAGGCTGCGCCGCGCCAGCGCGTCCAGGTTGGGGGTGGCGATGGCCGAGTTGTTGTACACGCCGCTCTCAAACCCGCCATCGTCCGCTGCGCGGGGGAGACGCATGTGGGGTCAGGGGGGCTGCCTGGGCACGCGGACCGGGCGGGGGGCAGTCGGCGAAAATGCTGCACCCGGGCTTGGAGGAGAGAGCCCGGCTTCAGCCCTCTCCTGGCCCTCGGAGC